AGCTTTGTCCATCAAAAGAGCTTTGTCCATCCCCTACAATCACTTCAGTCATTTTTTTGGAATTTGGCAAGGGAATTCTGAAGATGATTATTTTCTGGCAAGACCTGCTGCATCTTTGATGACTCATGCTAAAGGCACTGTTCACTCTTAAGGCCTGTTCCCCCAAGGTTTTGGCAAATAATCCAGAAGAATTAAATTGCACGTTATTCTTGCAATGCTTGGTCTGCACCGTGTGCCAAACATTTCTCACAGATCTGGTGAGTGCTGTGGAGGATGAGCCATTTGCTTCCTCTGAAGCACTCACACAACCTTTTGGCTATCCAGAGGAGACATTATATGCCTGCATTGATCAATATTTATAGAGATGTGCTCTTTCCAAAAGCTTTTGATGAACAATCTGGAGAAGGCAGAGTGCTCTCACAATTCTTGCTAAAGCTTTGTGAAGCAGAGTAAAGAGAAGTAACATATGAAATAACTTTAAATTTTATGTAATGAGGTAAAGGGTAGGGAAGATGTCCAGTTCAGAAGCATTCTTTTCTGGGTGATAAGCTGGTCCCATAGAAAATAAGAATAACAAATGTCAGAATTCTGCTTTCTTGAAAAGTAAATATATTATCCATTCATTTCTTAAATGAATCATAATGTCAAGTAATTCAGAAAAAAAATGTGAGCATACCTGTACATCCCCATCTATTCTGCAGACTACTGAAAATTAATCATGTTGGCAGCATGGACTGAAGGACAGATCATTATTCTTTAATAAGTCTGCCTAACGATAAAGGAATGAAAAGGAATCCCTACCCACCATCATTAGGTACTCCCTGCAGTTCTATGTTGGTTGTTTTAGGTTTCTTCTTTGGAGGCTGAGGTCCATCGGACAAAGATGGCCGCTTCTTCTCAGAGCCTATTCCTTCATCAGGTAAAGCAGTCTGAACTGCATCTGGTGGAGGCCCATATGGATTTTCCTCTGGGTCTTCCACCTCAGGAGCAATAGGCAAGTAGAGTAAAGCTTTAGAGTCTTCCAGTTCTTCATCACTGTCAGAGAAATAATTTATTTTGCTCATTAGCAACACACATGAGGGAAGGAATGTTCCTTCATTTGATTTTATACTCTTGCCTCTCCTAGAGTATTATCACCGCTACATTAACCATTCAAATGCACGCTGTGAAGGCATCTCACATATGGCAAAAAAAGAATACTCCTCTCAATAACCGTCCTGGTTTCCTAATACGTTTCACCACAAATTACATTAATCACACAACTTTTGTAAGAGAAAAGCATTCTTCAGAAACTTGGAAGGTTATTTAAATAGATGCTATTTAAAACAGATTCTTGCACGAGGGCATTTTTGATCAGAACTAGCTTCCTACTCATATCACAGATCTTTTAGAGCTTCAAGGTTAATCTGCTTTAACAAACAGTAAACATTACTGAATGGGCAGGACTTGATTCTGAAATATACACAGACAAATAATTCATGCTCATAATTGGAATCAACTAAAATTTCTTTATAGTCTTGTAATAGCTGGGCCGTTACCAATTTACCTGCTACAAAAAGCTGCAATAGGGTCTACACTAGTTACATCCACTTCCTCATCTTCTGCAGCATCAGCACCTGTCAAGTAATGAAAGTCAGAATCACAAATTAGGGGACCATTAGCATTTACTTGATAAGCGCTGTTCTGCACTAGCAAATCAGTGGAGATCAAAGGATAGTAAACCATAATATTAAACATATACTATTATTGCCTCTAGGTAATGGAATGCCCTCCAAAGGGACCATTAATTCAGATGCTGTTCTGTTTAAAATATCATTAACACTAACTCGCTCATGTAAAACATTTGCAAAGTAACAAGACATCCAGAATTAAATGTTATTTAATTGAACTCTCTTAAATTGGAGCATTTAAAATGTTTTACTCTTTTGTTTATGGAAATTTATTACTGAATTTTTTTTATCATTCTTTATTATTTTTCCCCTATACTGCTTTGGGCTCTTTTGAGTGCAAAAGCATTAAACAAAACTTCTCATAAAAATAGGCATTGGCAATGTTTGCTATCCTCTAGCAATCTGTCAACGCTGCTAACATCGGATATTCTTGCTTTGACAACAAATGAAAATGCAGCCATTTTCTCTATTCTTTTAGAATTAGTTGATGCTGGGAGGGGAGAATGGGATGAGTCAACCTAGTCATAACAATAATAACTTTGCCGTGGGGAACCCAAGGTCATTTGGCCCAGAGCTGATAGCATTTTGGCAGGCTGGAGAGCTGGGGAGGAAGCCTGCATTTCAAGCTAATTGGGGGATGTGATTTATGACTGTTTATTGGACTGTTTATACAAACTTTGTATCCAAGGGAGGGGAATTTAGTTTTTGGCTTCAACTATGTAGTGCCAATACTTTGTTTTCCGAATAAAAGATTCTTTAAGGTAAACAATGCCTTGAAGTTTTTTTGAAGGGTTTCATCTGACAGAACCATGACAATCTTCTTGAAAGATTTATTAGATTACTTAAACAATAGCTATATTTTCAAGTAACACATTCAACTTTATTATGCTTTTAATAGAAGTTTCATGTAATGTTGCTTGATTCAATATTATATTAATATAATAATATAATATAATATAATATAATATAATATAATATAATATAATATAATAATATAATATAATATAATATAATATAATTAACAGAATAATTCTATATTTGTATATACATACTTTTGTGTCCAATAAAACAATAAACTTTTAAACATTAAACATTTCCAGAATCATTTTAAAAAAATAAAATGAAACAATAAATACAATGAAACAATCACAACAAAAGTCATACCACTCATTATTCCAAAGTAAAGTAGGCACTTAATTGTTTATCTTAAAACAGTCCTGATTATAGGCTCAGAAATTATAAACAATTGAGAAAGAAAAAGCTAAGAAAGATAAAGCCCTGGCATAAGGTATACATTTTCAGATAGAAGGATGAAGTCATGACTATTGTCGGAAATAAGTCCCATCCACCAATGTTTCTTGTTCCTCAGAAAGGATTGTTACAAATAATCCATCCTAATATATAATTTACAAGATAGTATTTAAATGTGTTCCAATTTACCCAAGAACAATTTATTCTGCAGGAATTACAACAATTAATACTAAAACAATTATCAGTAATTACAGAAGATTAATTATACATATTGTGATCAGCCAAGTAACAAGGCTGTACTCTATATTGCTAATTTGAATGAGGGACATCAGGTACCGTAGTCAGAAAAACATGTTAAAGGTAACTAGGCCATTAAAGTTTTTAGGGTTAGATTTATAGTAGTAAACTTATATAATGAAAGAAAACAACAAATAAAACAGACACGTAGATGTCATTCTTTATAGAAGGTTTTCTTTAAAAAAAAACATCTTAATGCAAGCTTAGAAAAATGCTCTATTTGTATAACTTTGCCACATAAACTTTTACATTTTAGAACATATGGTTTATCTATCTATACATATATATCTATATCTATACATCTCTCTCTATACACACACATATATGTGTATACACACACACACAAGTTCTAAAGTTTATGTGGCAAAGTTATACACTCTCTCTATACGTATCAATATAATTGGGATTTGCTATAACTGGTATGGGCGAAGATGTGTTTTATTTTATAAAGTATAATTTCTGACAATTGTACCATATTAACAAAAAGACAAACTGCACTACTTATATATGTGAAATGACTCATACCAAACATTCTTTAAAGCACAGCAGTGGAGAGCTTCAAAAACATATATTTAATTTTACACTAATTTCACTATTTTAAAGATTAAGGTTAGGTCACATACATTCACTTAGCATGGACCCCAGTTCTGAAGCTTCACATGGCTTTCTTATGGTAGCTGGGCTCCAAGCATGCTGCTGGCAACTGTTGCTGTCAGCAGATGAAGACAACCATCATCTGTTGGTTGAACGATTCAAAAAAACCAGTATGTTTTCATCTACCACAAAGATATCAATTTGCCATGATAAGAAAAAAAATATGCTGGATTCAAATGGGCATTGACATTTCCAGCAGAGTTATTCTTGTTTTAAAATAAATTTAAAATAATACATTAATTACCTGTTTGTTCTGGCTCACTTTTATCTTCATCTTCAATGTCAAATTCAGACTCCCGTTCTTCATATTCTACATTTTCATCCAGCTCTTTAAAATCAGGTGCAAAGGCACTCCAGTTTTCCTAAACCATAAATCCCCCCCATCCAAAAACATTTGAAACTTGTGATGCCATGGAACAGATAAGTACCATTGTAAGCAATGAGCAACAGCTTTTCAATCACACCATGCTATATATTGAGCAGCAAACTCACTCTATGGCCCTCCTTGTCCAAAAAAGGTGTTTCCGGTGTTGATTGTGACTCACTACATAAAGGTTCTACTTAAAAGCCAGTTTGGGCCAACCCTTCTCTCCTTCGTCTTTGCAACAAAAGCCTGAAACCTCCTGCTTCCTAAAAGTCACTCTCCCGTAACCTAATAATGTCTTCACCTGCTGCTTTGGACTCTTGTAATTTGAACTTATTTGATTAAACTTCTGTATGCTTGCCCAAAAGCCCTGCCTGCTGGTGCTTGTCTTTGCTTAAATATGAAGTGAAAGTCTAGCACCTCAACTTCTCTGGGTGTCCCTGATTGTTCTGGAACATAACAGGAGAGGTCATCTAAATCATCATGGTCAAGTTCTCCTTCAGTGCAAAAAAATTAAACAACAAGACAAACAGCTGTCAAGCTTTCACCTAGGCACATCCAATGAAGGGGAGTCTATCATCTCTCTGTATAATTGGTTCTACTGTCAAATTGCTTTCCACGTTAGGATTTTTAAAAACATTTAGATGGTTCTTGCATTCTTTTATATTATTCTGTATTCTGTATTTATTTAGAATACAAATCCTAGGGAAGTTTATGCAAATATTGTAAACATATTCAGAATAAATGAAAACAGAGTCGCCACCCAGAGGCGTAGCGTGGGGGGTGCAGGGGGGGCCGGCCGCACCGGACGCAACATCTGGGGGGGGCGCTCGCACTCGCAGCTCTCTGCCCCTGCCTGGCTCACTCACTCTCTCTGCAGTGCTGGCTGTGCGAATCCGATCCGAGCCGCCGGGTCGCCGACGCCGCCCACTGTGGAGGGGGGCGCAAATTACTTGCCCCGGGTGCTGACAACCCACGCTACGCCACTGTCGCCACCCGAAACCAAAATGTAAAAGACTAATAAAATGCAGCAGAATTCTACCTACCACTTGATTCTGTGCCCATATAGATACCACTCCACTGGAAATAGAAGCAATGATTGGTCGGACAGGATGCCACTAGAATTGCAGCAAGAAGGAGAACAGTGGCACATATATTAAAAAAAATTCGGGCCAATTATTCTGACAAAATAGAATGGAGAGAAAGATGGAGCACTTACTGCCACATCCAGCAACAGCTCTCCCCTAGTGCCATGCAGGATTTTCACAAGGTTGCCAATACTTTTCTCCCAAATGTACAGAGCATGCTGACGGGCTGACCCTGCAACAATATATTCCCCGTCACCAGAGAAACAGCATTTTTTCCAAGGCGTCCTACAGAAAAGGAATTAGCAGAAAAAGTTAACCGATTCTTTCAAGAGCAGGAAAAATAAAAGATTCCACACATCCCCCCCAAAAAACCCTCTAACAATGCTTTCTCTGGAGACAATGACATATTATTCAGAAAATGCACATTGCAAATTCTGCTATGTAAATGTAACTATTCAAGTCAAGTTATATTTCCCAAATTGATTAACTGGACCATCAATCCTTGGGTGATTATTTAGAAAAACTATTGCAAAATGTAATAGAAAATATAAAAATAAACTGCATCACTGTATTTTTCCAGACTCTAAAGTTCTGCTCGGGACAGATCTGGGCTTACACAAGATTACGGTAATCAAAAGAAGGTTCTGTTTCAACAGAAACAGCCTTTAAAAATATACGAATGAAAATGGACAGAAAAGCAAACAACTCTGCAAATCTGTCTAAAATCACTTGTTGGCTCATCTTGTCCCAGAATTATCTGCATCAATAATTTGAGGGTTTTTTTTATATTAAGAGCCACCCAGAGCTTGTTGCAAGATGGGCACTATATAAATTTTTCAAATAAATCAATAGCTAATAGGAAGACCCAAGTGACTGGCTGATCTCAAAATGCCTAAGCAGCAATTCCCCCAGTTAGGACTAGGATGGGAGACCAACAGCAAATTCTAGGGCTATAAATCAAACCAGTAAGTTGAAAAAAGACACAACCATTTCATTTTATTGTTAAGAAAACAACAAGGATAAATCTATGTAATTACTAGGAGCTGAGCCTGACATTTAGAAATTTGAGTAATCTTCATAGGATTATGTTGTAAAAGTAAGTTTCAGTTTTTGAAAGAGTTACTACTAAATAATTATACAATCCTACCCATGTAGATTGAGGTCTTCTTTTTGTAAATGGGGGATCAGTAGTGAGGGATCAATGGTCAGGGAAGCCTGTCATATAGGACAAGTTGAATATTTGAATGAATAATTATTGTTTTGGAAGGTCACAAAGCAAACAGCTATGTAAGAGGCTTAACTATTATTAGCTATTCAATTAAATACTGAATATTACAAAGGAAATATATTCTGATGCCTTAAAATACTTAGCTACTTTATACATTTACCTGTTCACCAAATCTTGCAGTTTTTGCATTGGTTCTGGTTCCCCATCTCTACCACAGGTCAAGATTTCCCGGCCATCATAAACTCGGATTATGCGATCAGCAGTATTTATGAGAAAGCAACTGGAAGATGGAAATATATTAATATGCTACAATGATACTAGCTTTCTGAAATACACTGCTGAACCACCCTTTTACAATACAGGTAGTCATTGCTTAATGACCACTCAGTGACCATTAAAAATTATGACTGCACTGAATAAGTAAAAATTATAACCGGTCCTTGAAGTTCTGGCATTTGCAATATATCCACAACCGTATGATCACAATTCAAGTGCTAGTTGACCAGCAAACAATTATAATGGTTCCAACATCTTGTGGCCCTATCATCATGATTTGCCACGTTCACTGCTGGCTTCCCATTAGCAAAGTGAATGGGGAAGCCAGCAGGAGGTTGTAATTGCATCACACTTACTGACCATGTGCAATTTGCTTCATGATGGCAAACAGCGATTTGGGTGATATATAAATTTAATAAATAAAAGGGACTAATGTTATAAATTGGCATGTGATTTTCTGCTTTACATTCAGTGTCGTTTAGAAAAGAGTTGCAGATCCCAATTGCCATTGTTAAGCAAGGACTACCTGCATATCTGGTAATCAATAATAATAATATTATAATATGTAAGCCAGAAAGACTTCCTTTGGATGCACCCAAAGATTCAGATGCAATAGAATAAGTTTAGTTTTTGAAGGCTGCTTTTTATCTCAGGGTGTAAGCTGCTTTTTCAAAACTTTTTCAGTTTCAAAAACAAATTGCCATGTGACATGAAAGCTACACTAAAGCTTCTTCAAGCATGTACAATTACATTTAGATGTTTTATTTGTTTAGCTTTCAATCATAGTATTAACTAACTTTATCCTTTTTTCATGACAGCTGCTCCTTAAATTAGCTAATGTTCAAGTATCTACCTAATTTCAAATATTGGTGATCACTTTCATCACTTTCAAAAGCAACAGTCACTAGGACAATTTCCCAATTAGCCTAAAAGATATACGAACAAACTTGGCTGAAGATCATACAATCTAATGCAAACTCAAAATTCTAAAATTGTCCTTATCTAAAACACGTCTCAAAACATTTCAAAAGGCAAAAGAAAGTCATTCTGAAAAATAAGCCCAAGTATTAATCCATTGATAAAAATGGGCATTTGGCAACTCTAAGGGATTTAAATTAAATTTTAGCTGCAGGTGGTACCAATCAGGACATCTGGGGAACTAACATAGCTTATTAGGGAAGGAGCATAGCTCTGTTCTATGATACATGATTTGTGTAAAGAAACCTTCAAATTCAAGTCCCTGTTAAAAGATAAAGAACTAAGTGACAGGAAATATTACTGCATGAGCTTGACCAGAACGAACAATACCAGCCTAGATAAACAAGATGTGGCATACCGGGCAATTTCCTATGCTTTTCCGATAAATCCAGATACTCTCATAATTTAACCTCATTTTGAAATGAATTATTGTCATCACTGCAGAACACTCACAGAATGTGTGTTGAGAGGAACAGGATTATATTCAGTAATTCCACTCCATATCACAAGTGGGAAGAATTTTAAATTGTCTACACAAATGGCATTTGGGGGGGAAAGCTTTTCACCATTATGCTTTTAGTGAATAAACTGTGACGCTCTGACTGACTTCAACTCACCTTCCTTTTCGAGCAAATTCTATAGATTTAATTGCAGTAGTGTTGCTGGTTCCTGTTGTCACTCTGAAGGAAGCAACAAGGTCCTGAGTGTCTATCTTTAACACTAAGATCTGAAAAAGAAAGAAAAAATGGGTACAATCTTACTACCTAAAACTTGTAAGAAAAATCAATGAATTGCAAGGGTATACAGTTCGCCCCAACTATATACCCTTGCAATTTTATTTTACTCCATAACTTATCAAACAGTAAGCAAGGATCTTAAAACATTAAAAATGAGACAAAGCTTTACATTTAACATTGCAATACTACAGCAGGTATTAAAAACTCAACATATGCTGCCAATAGTATAGATTTCATTTTGCACAGTAGTATCTTTCCAAATGAGAATAGCATCGTTAAGAAACATTTTACAGAATTACTATAAGAAATTTCAACTGAATGTCAATCTTAATATTCTTTGTATCATTGCATGCATTTGAACCCAAAAATTTCTGGCATTTTTACAAGTTCACCAGGAAGGATAAAATGACCTTCATATTGTCCAATGTCGGTTATCTTTACGAGTCACATGCCAACAAGCATCCTCACTCCTGAGTAAGCTAGAATTTTTTCTGTATGATATATTACATTTTATATCATAAAACTCAATTGTTAAAAGCTTCAAGTAACAGACTAATTAACAGTTTTGTGAATTCTCTAGAACACCAAGATCAGCTCAACCTAAACCAGATGTATGGTTATACAATAGCATTTGAGACAGTAGTCATGCCAAATCCTTGATCAATGTAGTAGGGTAATATACTTTTTCTGCATTTATCTATTGTTCATGAATGTGTGGTATCTCTTTGAGCAATAAAATATTCATTGCATGACATCTAGTGGACATATTGCAAATACAACCCTTCAAACAAACTGGTGAATAGTGTGGCCAAACACATTGAATGATTATGGGTCATCAACTCAATGCTGACTTTTACTGAGAGACAGATCTGTCCCCAACTTTTCCAATAGTTTATCCATTACTGCTGTAATTAAGTCCAACCACCTTATTGCTTGTGATCCCTTTCTTCTGTCTTCTTCCATCTTTCCCAGCGTTATAGACTTCTCAAGAGGGCTACGTCTATGCATGATGTGTCCAAAGTATGATCACTGAGCCTTATCATTGAAGCAGAATCCTCTGTGATTATTGAAAAGCTTCAATGAATTCAATGGGGATTTAATATGAGACGAGCGAGGATTGCATCCCTATGCTGCAGAACTAATTTTTACTTACCAGATACAAATCCTATTTATTTCCATGGGTTTTACCTTTGAGACAGGTTTAGGTTATAGAACAAATAAAACAATATAATTATTTCTCACCTTCCCTTTAGCATTCCCTGTGTAGATATATTCCCCTCGTCGATCAAAAGAAGCTACCACATTGAGATCAGAATCATCATCTACTGGTAGGACAACATGCTTCGAATCAGACAATGTTAGCATTACTGGGGCAGATTTCATTGGACATACTAATACTATGTTTCTAAAGAAATAGAAAAACAAGAAACAAAAAAATTCCCAAACATCAAGCAACGCATCATCAAAAACGTAAAAAACACAAGGGAAGTATGTTTTTCCCCTGAAAAAAAAATGAATTGTATTTTGTACTCATAAACAAGCGGGATTAATAAATCAATTCAGTATCGTTCATATTCCAAATAGTTAATACAATTCTTATATCTGTTAATTATGTTTTCACTTCCCCATATATAGATACATTCATTTCATTTTTATTCCATATGTCATCCAAGAATCAATAAAATAAAGGGACAAAGATGATATTCTCTAATGAGGAAAGTTTCTGAATAACCTTTCAGGTAAGGCCCTCATGAAATGTAACAGTGATTATTCAGCAGAATAGTGATCCAGTAAAGGTATTTGATGTGATCTGGCTAGAGGATGAGAATGAGGATAAAATGAAGCTAGAAACAATTAAGTGACAGTATTCCTGTCACTCATGATTCTAACAATATTGGAACTAGTGATCCTATTCTTAAACAAACTCAACAAATTCACAGAATCTCTTGCTTGTATCTGTTGACAATAACTGAAAATCAGAGGTTTAGCTATTTAATCATAGAAAGAATTGCTTAATGAAAATCCAGGACTAGGGATTGAGCTTCACAGAAGTGAGAGACTAGTCAACAGGCATGTAAGTGCTAACAGGAGAACAAACTCTGCAGCGACTCTTTAATGAATCTCTGCTGTTTACTGAATGGAGGTTTAGCAAAGTTTATTTAATGTGCTCACTCCCTTTGGGCAGTGTTAAGAAAAATTTAAATATCTCTTATAAATATCCGGCATTGCTACATCTCTAGGATTTCTCTAATCTTGTTTTTTGCATTTTCTGTGGATTTACTGCCTAGTGATAACTTACCAGTTTCAAACCCTGCTTTCCTATTTGACCCTGAGTTTGACCTCAAAGACACTGCAAAAGGATTTTTTCAAAGGCTGTATTAATACATTTTGCTGTTATAGAGTCTGGCCTATTTATACTGGGCCTAAGGGAGATTCTATGCCTGCTATTTTGCCTTCTGGCAACTTGGCATGCCAGCACAGGAAATAATAATAATTATAATTAATAATGTATGCATTAAATATGATAAACAGGTAGACAGCTGTGCGACCACCCACAATAATAATGTTTAAATGTATACTGCCTGACTCTCAACTCTAGATGGCCCACTACAATCAAAGAAATTACAAAACATTTAATGAAATATAAAGATAAAAGATGACGAGAAAACAGACCAAGTGGAATGAAGTAATGGTCTCACTTTCTTTCATCAAAGTCCTAGATGAAGACCCAGATTCTCATGGCTATTCTAAACAACAGCAACGTGAACCTTGAGGGAACCTCATATCTTCTCAAACTGCCAGATTAAGAGAACTTTGTATTTTGTATATTTGCATTTTGCACGTTTGTATTTCCATATGTATTTAGGAAAATACATATGGAAGAAAAATTCCTAAGAAAATTTCACAAAGTTTAGAACAGTATCAAGATTCACAAGCAAGAGAAACACAGATGTTGATAGTGGGAATGAAAGGCAAGATCTTTCTCTATCACTTAACATGTATGCTGCATGCACTTGAAAACAATACTGAATTCTGAGAATCTTAGATCTCAATGCTATCAACCTATTGATGCATTGACCCACAGTTTTTCAGATATACTTTCTTATTCCTGGAGCCAATATATCTACAGTGGTGATAACACTGTATGCCCAACCTAGCCAGTTTTTGTTTTTCTTCAGTTGCTAAGCTGCATAGTAAAAAAAAATCTGTTTTGACTACAACCCATGAAAAGGTATTATAACTTGCATATACTTTAAAGAAATTATCTAGATTACTACTGCTTTTTTAAAAAAGGTGTTAATATTACTTACTGATCACGGGGATGATACTGGACTTTCAAAATAGGAGAAGGAAAACGAAACCTCTGATCACAATCACCAGTCAAAACATCCCACTGAGACACCATATTATCAGTTGATGCACTCACTAACTTATGACCATCTCGACTCCAACTGAAAGAGAAAGATCTAGATAGCCTCTCAGTACAACCTTCACCGTCCTGATCAAATATGTTGACAAGCTTTCTGCAGCACTCCAATCTTTAATTTCCCAAAAAAACATTTATAGAACCAAATGCCTTGTACGTTCAATGGAAAAAATCACGTATTACAACCTTAATCCATCTTTATGCATCACCTATTAGCTGGTATCAAAATAAACTGACTGCATATGTATTTGAGAATCAAATTGCAGCTGAAGCTGTCGCTGAAATTTTTATTGGAACAACTTTCACTGCCCAAAATACTGGACACTTCAGTCCAATTCATTTTTTTGGGTACACAGCTGATGTAAAGTTCACCCAAAGTTTTGAGCTGCCTAGTTGTCATCTATGCACATGCCTGAACTGTAGCTTCCAGTAATAAAAACTAGTAATATTCTAATAAAATGTCCAAAGTTTAAATGTATGAAAATTGTACAATAAATGCATGCAGAGTTCTTTTTTCTGACCTCAACTGCAAGCACATCACCCACAAATCAAATTAAATTTGTATTAGGATAATTCCTTACCATAATGAACAAACTGGGTGAATATGGGCACTTATTATTTTTGCAATGCCCCTTGTCAAGAAATCCCAAATAACAATTCGGCCATCATTACAGCCCACTGCTAGAAGAGTGCCCCATCTGTTAAAAGTACATGTAAGAGCCATACTAATACAGTCCAATGTGCCATCAGCTTCCTGAAAACAAAAAAGGAATAGAAACAATGGAGAGGTTTCATGTATAGATTACATAACCATGTTACTTCACCCCATAAAATGCAATACATTAAATAACTTGTCGCAATGTTTATGTAATAAGTTGAAGATTTAAGACACACAGTCTATTTCATGTGTATATACCAAGAATTCTCCTTTCTATTTCAGCAAAATAGTCACAAACAAACAATATTACAAAATATTTATACAAGGGTAAATACATACCTCTGGATAGTTCTGCCCAAAGGATTCTGAAAAAAAGAAGAAAATATGAAGAAAATTCAAAAATGCCTAACTCCTTTTTGTTGCATGCTGTATTACTGAAGATCTAATGATAGGGGCATGTACTGAAATAATAAATCTGACCTATAAATCAGTAGCATGTATTACAATATTATACCTGCTATGCAGAAATTGAAGGAAGTTTTAGCAATGAGGTTCAAGTAATTTAATATATTTAAATTGAAAAACTGAAAATCTTATCTGCTATATTGGTAAAATTAAACAATATTTACTATTTTTGGATGAGCAAAATATAAATTCCTTGCTGTAGGAATCTCAAAATTTTATCCAAAATTACTCTTTGGATTCCAACAGCCATATAATCATCAAAATTAAAGTATTTCTTAAAGTTAGAAATGTTCAAAAATGGGATGTTGCCATGCCTTAAGGGGAAGCAATTAATAATATAAAACTTTTTAAAAAAGAAACATACATAGGTTTTCTTTTTGACAGGTCACTTTGGAAGTAATTATCTACTGAGGTCCATTAATTCTCATTTATACTCCAAGCCCTTTAACTGTAACTTCATCTCAAGTGAAATAGGCATGTAGAGGACTAGAAAAAGATGCACTGCCTGTTTCAAAATGTTATGAAGCTGATACTTTCACCAGATATTCCTTTATCACATAATTTATACTACTTAAATCATTTGTAACTCATCTACACAATACTTCCAAAGTTAAAATACAGTAGTGAAATAACCTGACCTCAATATTACATTAAGGATGGGTTTCCTCGCTATACATAATGGATTTTTCGGGGGGGGGGGGACCAGCAAAAGAGAAAAGATGAAATCGCCAGCCCACCTATAACAATTCTCAAAACCGGGTCCAACGGAGTTTGATGTAGGCGCCCGCGTCATAAATCTGCCTGATATATGTTTGAATATCAGTACCTGGGGTTGGTAGTTAGGCCAGGGGTAGGCAACCTCGGCTCTTTTATGACTCATGGACTTCAACTCCCAGAATTCCCGAGTCAGCTGTGCTGACTCGGGAATTCTGGGAGTTGAAGTCCATGACTCATAAAAGAGCCGAGGTTGCCTACCCCTGAGTTAGGCTATTGGTTTGAGCTCCGAGCTTGGCAATTTGGTTGCAAACGTTTCGTCACGATTCGAGGAGACACCGTCAGGGCGCTTTGAATTGTGCTCGTCTGTCGGAGCGCTGGCCTTTAAATACCTTTTTATGCGATGCAAATTGGTACGAATGTTGTTTATTCGGATATTTCTGAGTCACGGTCTGATTTCGGATACCCGAAATAAACAACGTTCATACCAATTTGCATTGTCTAATAAAAGGTATTGAAAGGCCACTGTTCCGACAGACGAGCACAATTCAAAGCCCCCCCCCCCGACGGTGTCCCCTCGAAACGTTTGCAACCAAATTGCCAAGCTCGGAGCTCAAACCAACAGCGTCAATCTGCCTCTTGTCTCCGGGACTCTTTTGCATTTCAACCGCACCAAATGTTTTTGAAGCGATCGGGAGGCAGCGTCCCGCCGTTTCCGCACCGCTGGACAGCTGTGCCCAGTTCTGCAAACGGGACGAAGGAAAATGCGCCCCCCGCCGCTTCCCGCGTCCCAGTCAAAGAAGCAACCCAGCGGCCCTTTCTTTCCCCCCGAGCCAGTTCCAACACCGCGATGCTTTACCGCCCACAAACGTGCCTTCCCGGGTTTATCCCACAGCCCGTCTGCTCATCGTCCCCCGGCTGCCCTGTCCTGTCCACGCATCCCAGCCCCAAGTAAAGAGCAGCGACCAAAGCGCCTTCTCCCCACGCACCGAGCAGCTCCAGGTTCATCTTGCTCACACTCTTCTTCCGTCCGATCCCGCTTCGGACGCAAAGACCCAAAGGCCCCCACCCGAAGGGGCTGCCGCCATAACTCAGCCTGATGAAAACGTTTTCTATTTCCTCACGGCTTCGATCCTTCTCTGCGTCAGACGAAATAATTGCTCATCGTTTTCGTACCCAACATTTCCTAAAAGCGGAGAACAACACGGCGAGAAGCATTTTGGATGTGTGGAGAAAACAGGCAGCGCCGTGGACAGACCGGCATCGACACACTCCACTAATATAAACCGTGCTGAAACAAAGTGAGGTGAAAGGAGTTCCCCTTTACGGATTCGAAAGAGTCCGGAGGGAAGAGAAACAAGGGATAATGGAAGGAGAAAGAAGCAAAGAAAGCGAAGAGGAAGAGAGATGGGGAACTGGCTGGGGAAAGGAGCCAACCGAGGTAGCCGCGGAATCTAAACTTTTAAACAGTTTACAATCGTGAATGAGTGTCAGGAACTATGTGTACCTCTGAGCTTTGGGGATGCCGCTAACAGTTTGCAAGTAAATCTCTATACAGTATTAGAAATCTTAGTTTGTGCAGAACACTGTTGAGTATGCTTTGATTAAACGTGGTTTACTTGTGGTTTACTGCCCAAGCGGGCCAATAATTTAGACTTAGCAGGGAATGCTACATGCAACACAGCTACAAAATGCTGAAAACTTAGTCTATTGCTTATCTTAATGAAAAGCGCTATAAGAAAGCTTCATTGAACAAGGCTTTAATGAGCAGTGGACCTAGTATTTTATGGATCTAGTATTTGGCTTAAAATATAAGAAGCATAAGTAATGCCTGAATAATAAATCAAATCATAGCCACTATGTAGGTACCTAAAACTTAAAAAAATGGGGGAAAGATACAACAGATCTAAATGAAAGTTGCCTGATTTTGTAGAATGGAGTTAAATATATGCAGGGAAAGAATGTGTAGGTTTAATTCTGTGTGTTGGGAGGGGGGTCTGTAAATTTGATAAATACAAAGAAATAATTGTGAAAGAACAACACTGAACTGGTATTGTGGCATAATCAAACTTAGACTGACCAAATGAAGGACTGAGGAAGGGAATCAAATACAAGAAAATGGATATCATAGCATGTTTTAAATAAAAAAATATTATACTCCTTTTTATAAAGTTGTATAACTTGTTCACTTTTGGATTATACTGTTCTCCTCAGTGTTAAAAAACTTTTCCAGTCCTGTGTAGCTTAAGAATCAGGACTGGTAACTTGTATGCAAAATCTATGTATTGTAAGCAAACAGTTCGTGCTCCCAGCTCAAATTCCATTTTACACCACTTTGGAAGCAGTTTAGTTAGCTCTTGAATTTAATATGCTAAATCTCTGTCTCTCAAAAAAGTTAGCCTTAAAAAATGAACCATTGCTTAAGTTAGTCTAAGAGAAATGTTTTTATGGGACCTTAGGCTTGTGCCATTTTCCCTCACAGTCCTCAGGAGAGTCATAGAACATAGAATCCTAAGGCTGGAAGGGACCTCAGAGGTCTTCTAGTCCAACCCCCTGCTTAAGGCAGGAGACATTATATCATCCTAGTCAAATGGTTATCCAATCTATTAACAAAAGTCCACCCCCTTATTGTCTCATTATATTCTTGCTGTTTAACCATTGTCATTAATTTTAATGCTTTTATATTTGTATGCCTTTGTAAGCTGTCCAGTCTCTCTGGATGGGCAGCATATAGTAAAGTCTCCTCCTCCTCCTCCTCCTTTTCCTCTGACTTGTGGAACTGCTTGCCACCTTGCTAGGGGGAGGGGGAACAAAGAATGGACCACTACACCCCCACTTCCCATTACAGTATGTCCCAAGGACCCCATCCCTCCAGGGAGTTGTTGCCGGCCAGCCGGCCAAGTTGCTCCTTTGTCTTTCCTCATTCCATATATGAATGATTCCATATATTTCTCACTCCTTATATAGGCTTGCACTATTTCCCTTCCCCTCATAATTCCCAGGAGAGCAGCAGTGAAGCCGCCTCATCCTCCTCTGCTTACTCTGCCAGGGAACTGCCTGCCACTTTACTGGGGCGGAGGGGAAACAAAGGGAGGAAAAGCTGCACACACCCTTCCCATTCCAGTGTATCCCTAAGGAAAGGGCACACCTGTCAACCACCAGCCCACCACCAGCCCCAGTCAACTCAACTTTGCCAGCAGGCATCCAAGTCACTCCTTCATTCTTCTCTCACATAACTGCCATTGCTGTTAAGAGATTTCAAATTTGGGTCTTGGTTCCAAAGCATTTAATGGCCACTCACCTGTTGGGCCTTGCTGCCCCTTCCATCTTCCTGTCCTGATTTTGGACACATTCTGTAAATTAGCCCACTTGAGGTATGTTGATTCAAAAATTGTTGCTCTATGATGCACCATTTCACCCAATTGGTTAAGAAGTATCAAACAGATGCAACAGTATTAGTAGATAACCAGCATCTTGAATTGCATTCATAAAGAAACTGGGAGCTAATGCAGCTCGTGCAACAGGGGTATAATAGACTGCTGTTTTAGTTTCTGGGTTGTCTTCAAGGGGTGCTCCATGTAGACCATGTTGCAGTAATCCAAATGGGAAGTGACCAAGGCATCAGTGACCATGAACAAAACCTCCCAATCCAGGAAAGATGCAACTGGAACACAAGAATAATTTTCCTACCAATGACTGTCCATTGCTCATTGAGCAGGAGTTGTGAGTATAGAGGTATAAAAGGAATGTAGAAGGACCCTCCAGATTGCACACCAGCTCTATCCAAGGAAGCGTCATCCTGTCCAGAGTCAAAGTTGGCATGTCACCAGACCCTGGGACCAGAAACCCAAAGACATTCCATTTTGCCAGAGTTAAGTCCAAATAGGCTTCTTCCTAACCAGACCCCACAGCCTCCAGACACACTCTGCACTTCAGTAGGATAACTTGCCCAACCAGGGGTGATGTGTAGCTGAGTTAAACCTTATACTGACTACCATACCACCTGCTGGCAAATGACCTCACCCAGGGTTTCATATAGATGTTAAAAGATAAAGAAAAAAAACTCTTGAGACACCTCGCATTGCAGGGATCTACGGCTTGAACTCTTGTCTCCAAAAAACTGGCCATGAAGAAAGGACAATATTGCAAAATAGTGCCTCCCAATCCCAGCCCCTAAAGCTGGATCAGAAGGATACCAAGTTTACCACAGTCAATGGTATTGAAAACCTCTGAGAGATCCAGGGGGAGGTGGGCAGAATGGTTGTACCATCTCCATCCCGAGCCTTCCAGGTTACCTGCAAGTACAGCCAATGCCATCTTAGTACTGGACTCTGGCTTGAATCCAGACCGAAAAGGATCTAGATAATCATCTTCATCCAAAACTCTCTGCAGCTGAGCCCCAATGTCATCTCCACTTCCCCAACAAAGGAAGGATGGAGATGGGATGAAAATTGTCTGAATACAATGGCATCTTAAGAAGTGGTTGATTCACCTGGTCTTTCAGAGTAGGCAGAATCATTTCCTCCTGCAAACAGGCAGTAACCACTTCTTGGACACATCTACAAGCCACCTCCCAGGAAGCCTCAACTCTTAAGTCTGAGTCTAAAAAACAGATGGCCAAACTACAGCCACAAGACCTTTTCCACTTCCATGCAACCAACCGATTCAAACTCCTCCCAAATAACAGGGCTTAAACATGTCTCGGTCACTTCCAAAGAATTTTCTCAGTTGGAATCCCACTCTGAGCAAAGTTGAGCTACTTTGTCTAGTAGATGCTGAAACTACGGTATTCCTCAGAGCAGCCTGTAGGAGTCCCCCGGCTCCTCCTTACTCAGGAGGAACCTGGTCTATCTGCGGGTGCAGTAAGGATGGATAAATAAGTGCACTTTACCCCACTATTGCCACAAAGTAAGTCCTAATGAAGGCTCTTATCTTTGCTAAATTGACTTCATTCTGTCTTCCTGGAAGACACTTCATCATGGAAGGAAGCTTACAATAAAAAGGTGGAAAGAATCAGAAATAGAATTGATTGATTTAGGGTAGCTACTTTGTTACAGTTATAGGCATAGAAACAAGATATGTCAATACCAGCAGTCAAGTAGAAAAATGCTATTAATGGAAGCAACAAAGCTTAAGTAAATAAAACGTCAATTTAGTCATCAGTGTTACTGCAATTTGTCTCTCTCCTCACCACAGCTGGTGATGTCACAGATTAATACTATAACAATTATTAAAAGAATAAACCACACCAGTAACATAAAATGTTAATGAAATCTTTATTATGTAACAGCACTTCAGTGCATTCTATCACCTATTAAAACAGAGCTTCATTATGGCATTAAATGAAGTCTTAATTCTCACATTGTTTTAAAATACATGTTATGGAGAGGGGCAGCAGTGGAAAAGTAATTAATATTACACAATACAAGGAAAATACTTGTCTTTAAATCTTGAATTTCCATATTATTGCACTTTTCCTATATAATTGGTAAGTTTGTTACCTTGCCTTTAACACTATAATACACCAGTTCTTTTAAAAAATAAAAAGTAGTACAAAATCTACAGGCATTACAGTGGAACTATACAACTCTCTCATGTTTCTTCTGCTCCTGATCAAGTGTAACAGTTGACCATCAATTTAACAGACCTAAATGAACATGTTAAAGAAATGCAGTACTGTTTAAGCCCCTGAGGGAGTTTCATATGCAAATATGCTTTTATTCTCTCCCTGGAGAAAAATAAACCAATAATATTTTTAAAAGGATAACTTCTGACTAAGAGGCAGTGGATATAGACAAAGCATTATATACATTTCTAAAAATGAAAGGAGCTCAGCACAAAAACACATTAAATAAAGGAGCAGTGCTGATGTTCCTCTCATTAAGTCTATCGCTCTGGAAATAAAAGAAGAAAATGATGATTCAAGTATCTCTCCTGACTTTCCAAATCCTGATAGGAGGAGGAGAAGGAACAGAAAAAAGAACTAACAAAAAGGAAGTGCTTATAAAAAACTGTTACATGGTAGAGCTTGTTTTTTAATTAGAAAAGCTAGAACAGTGCACATTGCACAATCAAGCTATAAGCAATAAAAGATTGAGGTGATACAAAAAAAATGTCAGTCCACTTAAATAGCAATGTGACTGGTAGGAGCAATGCACCAGCAAGCTAAGGCTAGGACTTCATCACTACAACAATGCAGTCTTACCCTGAATTCAAGCCTTGTTTTGTAAGCTAAAATGTAGCTCATGTAACTCCTATGTAGTGTTTGTCCAGAACTTATATGGCCAGTTCCCAAATCAAAATGGACTATCCAAGCAATGAAACAACTTCAGATAGTTTCACCTAAGAAGCATCAATTACTAGCACCAATGTAAATAATTTGATCCTGCCAGCTGTAATTTCTGCAGTTGTATCTGTTTTGTAAACTAGCTGGATTTCCTTTGATCTGCATACATAGCAATCTAATCTTCTGGAGCACCTGCTTTAGCCATTCAGTTGGTATTAATATGTAAACCTTGCGTAGTACAGTTCAATAAATAAAGTATCATTCTGAGTATGGAATAATTGGGATAAAATTAACCATGTTTTAATGGAAAGAGGGAGTAGTTATAGGCAATCATAACTGGAAGATTTTAGAGAGATCTGATACTATACTTTTGTCAAATCTCTTTGACTTTTTTATATTCATTGACAGTTGTATCATCCATTGCAATATTATGGATAATACCACATTTTGCTCTATACCTTCACCTTTGAAAATATTTAGTGTTTACAATATATGCTGCATTTCTCATGCTACAGTAGTAGTAATAACACTAGGAAAACTCACAAACTTTCTAATATGAAATGGAATGTTTCTTTTAAATCCAAACCTAAATGTATTTTTACTAGTAGCATCTTTAGGAACAAAAACATTCATCTGGTTTTTGTAGATACAACATGTTTGTGGGGGCTGATAACAGCACAAATAAAAATATATTCCCAGCAGAAAAGTGCATGCGTGTTTTATACTGAGAAGTGATACAGCCAATTTTATATCAATGGGGAAGACAGCCTCAAAAGAGCATGATTTGATGACTATTAGTTTTTAAAGGCACAAGATAAATGGTGAAAAAGTAGCTGATTGGTAAAGCTATGCACAATGTGTTCAAAACCAGCTTCATTTTATATTACATAAACTATTTCTATACTTCCAAAAATACTGACCGAGATGCTCCTAATTCTAAACAATATCACTAGCCATCATAGCACAAACAAAAGATATAAAATAAGGAATACTGTCAAGTGACTGGAATGATACTCCCAAAATACATCCGTGACAATATTGGAACTTCTTATTTGAGAAAAGGTGCTTTTCTGTAAAATTCACAGCTATGGCTGCTTATTTTGGTAAATTTGCCAAATGCTACAATTATTGGACAGAAGTGCCAAAACAACTTTAGACTGCAACAGAACCATAAATGTAACTAAGTAAGAAGCAGTTATTTTAAAAGAATTATATCTGATTTTATTGCCCACACACAAAGGTTTATCTCACTACTGAGTAACACTGAGGGGCTACTTTTGTTTTTAGTGATTTACATAACTAGGGGAAAGGCCCCATTTCTGCTTTGTACAAAAGGTGCCTCCTAGAAAAAATGATTAGGTTTGCACAGCATACAGTTTATCCTATGTCAATGGGACCAGTATATGTCTCATGGTATACAGATGAAGGAAAATGGTTTTTCCCATTCTCCAAACAACTGAAGGAACACTGCTACTGGTAGTTGGTCCCATTCTATATCTGTGCCAGAAATACTGCATTTCAGGCTAAACATTCTTAAAATATTATTGTGCTATGAAACTAAATTGTGTATAAAAAATGAAAAGGAATCTTTGTGTTGGAGTATGTAAATTACATGGGAAATATTAAATAATAAAGCCCAAAGAAGAAAATGATGGTCAGACACATCCACAGAAAAGTGACAGGTTTCTCTTAAATAGTCTTCAAAGGAATGACTTAAAAATACAAAACTGACAAAATATTTTAAAATAGCCAGTCAACATTAAGAGTTTAAAACAGTCATTGCCTTTCTTTAGATTCAAAGGGAGAAAAGCAAAGCAAAATAATCTGCTATGATTAAAAACATTTGGTTGTCCATTGGTTACAGGCAATAGTTGTTACTTGTCTTTTTATTTCAATATATCAACAACCTTTGAGTGAAGTATTGTCTTAAAGTTTGTAAAGTAATGGTAATAATAAAATAAGGCCATTGTAACCTATTTGTCAATTTCCCCAAAAGCAATTTGGTTCATAAATGACAGTGAGCTTATACTTCGGGATATTCTTGCAGTGAGACTTTCCCATTATGAGCTTTGATCCCATTGTGCAAACAATACCACATATTATCAGAAGTCCAGATTAATTCACAACTCTCTGCACTGCAAAAATTAGAAGATTACCCTCCCTTTGGAAGGGACACCATCTTATTTCTTCCAATCATCCACATTCATACGTATGACATTCAGAAAGGCTGATGTACAGTACATGCATCTAGCTAGTAGGGACTGTAGCTTAAGATGCAGTTGTGTTGACTGCCAGACTTCTGAACTTAACAGTGCTTTCTGCCTCTACTGGAACCTGAACAGATAAGTAAAACCCCTTGCAGACTGGGGTCTAAGTTCCTAGTCTTCTAATTTATTTTTAAGAAAGAAGGAAGCACTGGCAAGCTGCATTAGTAGTGTGTATTGAAAATAGAAGTCTCTGGCTACTATATAAAGGTGGAATTTCAATCTCACCTGAACCCTCAATTTTTGGCTGGCTTGTTCCAGGGAGCCACTGAGTTGCCAGTGGCAAAGTGGGGACCTGGGTTCTCACATAACTGAACAAATTCACAATGTCTTCAAGTGGAATCATCCAGTCCTTTGTTCAACTGCTCAGAGTACAATTTGCAAAGTCTGTCCATTATTCCTTGCAACATAGGTTGGACTATGCCCAAGAGAGGGCGCTGAGAAGAGTCCCCATCCCAACAGGCTTCCATCAACTGCCAACATTCCTCATCAAAAATGGGAAGACGTTCAGGGCGAACACCTAAGAAGAGAGGAGAATGTGGTAATGTAATGAAGGTGCAAAGTTAATCCTTTGACCTATAAATTGCAGCGGTTTTGTTCTGTTATTTCTGGAAATAAATTTCATCCAAAGTTTTATAAAGAATAAAAGGTTTTGAGGTAACACATTATTTAGGATCCGTGGGAATCTGGATGGGGAATAAAAGACTGAGGTTCAACCCTAACAAAACTGAGTGGCTGTGGATTTGGGAGCTACTATGTTCTAGAGAGCTTCCACTATTAATTGTGGACTGGGTTGCACTTCCCCAGACAACTAGTGCAGAATGTCAAAGTCCTGTACTCTTGTGACTCCTGCTTAAAGAGCAGTGGCAGCCATGGTTAGTAGGGCCTTTGCACAAATTCATCTTATGTACCAACTGTGCCTATTTCTGGATTGGGAGGCCTTATTCTCAGTCACTAATGTTTCAGTCACCTCTCACTTGGCCTGTGACATATATGGGGCTGCCCTTGAAGACCTCTAAGAAGCTTCAGTTAGCCAAAAATACAGCAATACAAGTTGTTAAAGATACAGCTTAGCAGGCCTGCCTAACACTACTATCTTTGACCTGCATTGTGGTTATCTATAAAGCCCTACATAGCACAGGGCCTAGAAATTTGACTGCCCTGTGAATAACATTTCCCTGCTTCCAAGATTCAGATGGCCCTGATCCTATCAGGCTTTAGTCCCCCCCCCCCCCAGGCATTGAGGCAGTATATTTTACATGCCTATTTTAGTGTATGCTATATGAATTATTTTTATTTATTAGATTTGTGTGCCACCCATGTCATCTATTTACCCCAGTAGTGTCAGTTTTTATTGATTCTTACTTGTGTTTTGATGTTTTTAATCCTCTATTAGCAGGCCAGATTTGACAAGTGATTAACCATAAAAATTGGGAGAAAGAGAGAAACATAAAGAAATATTATGAATATTCTCAAATATGTATGAATAAAGACTTACGCAAGTAGTCCATTTAAAATTACAGTAACAGGCAGAATGCAAAAGGAAACAGAATTTTCCTAGTGCATAGACATTTATAGATAGATTTATACATACAGCTGCTGATGTTCTGATTAAGTAGCTTATTTCAGTGTTATAGTGTACATATTAGACCATTTACATGAGTAAATGTTAGCGTGATTCACTTTTAATATATTCTATTTCATATTTAGCACATTTATATTTAGCGCTATCTATATCTCTGTCTTCAGAAACATGACACAGTTCCCATCTTAAGTATACAACAGAAGCAAATCCCTCTGACCATAGCAGAGATACACAGGATAGTATTTAGGAATCGCAATCTAAACTCGCAAGCGACCAGATCCACATGTGTAGGGTTCAAGATAACAAATTTATTATATTCTGCCTATAACACAGAAATCTCTCCAGACTGTTTGCTTCCCTTGGGAAAAAATAAATAAGGTTCCATGGAGTTTGGGGTGGGTGGGGGGGTGTTAGTCCTGGATCTTGACTCAAGGCTATAGTTCCTTGCTTGATTCCTCCTCCCTGCTGGCATTTCCCAACACTTCAGAGTGTTTCAGATTCAAAGTTCCTGAGGAATTGGATGCCAGTAGGATATAATGAGGTTAGAATTACATTTCTCTCATTTTCTAAAGAGAAATGTATGTGGCTTATCTGAATCATTCCCAGATTTAGGGTCCTGATGGAAGGTTGAAAGACCAACAGGCAGCATTACCAAGAAATGCAAGAACATTTTATTACTCCAACATTGCTTTAAACTTTTTATAAATTGTAGTTGGTATACATTTCTAGAAGAATGATAAAACAATCTACATGGTTTGTTCCTGTAAACACATCAAAATACTATAATGAAGTATACACTATTATATGACATATTGATAGCTGCCACCGTATTAAAATGAGTGCTATGGGCCATTCTATTCCATTCTTCATGTTTGTTAAAATAAGTTTCCACTAAGATAACTTTAGCATAAGTTGATGTAAGAAAAGAGATCCAATACTTAAAATACTTACCCACTAATCTTTTTTTGGTTTGTACTTCATTCACATTCTGAAATACTATGAAGACAGAATCTACCAGCAGACCTCTGCTTTACGAAATTCTATGTATTCACCATCATTTCACAACTTGATATAATCTATTTGTGTTCAGCTATGCCTACCTCTTCGTACATTGTTCCAAAGATGATCTTTGCTTGCACATCTCTCAAAAGCCTCTGGTAATTTCACATGTCCTGAACAGATGTACCAGAATAGGATGCCAAATGCGTACACATCCACAGAGTTATCATATTTCCCTGTGAAATATGAACAAGAAATATTGGTTAAAATCTACCTATATGTATTCATCCTCCATTAGATAATCTAGTAGGGCAAGAGCAGCACAATGAATGGATGGCTGGCACAAAATGTTATACAACAAATGTGACAACTTGGGCCACATATACACTTAAGTATTTTTTTTATCACTCTCTTGGATCAAGTAATAATCAGCCAATAAGAAATGCTCTTTTTTAGACTAGGGAGCACTGACATCACTGATCGTGTGATTTCATAGATTTGTATACCAAGAATCTACATACCATATTCAAAAAGATAAGGCGTATAATATTCTGGGTATAAAATAGGAAACATTTCTCTCAAAAAGGTTCAGTTGAACCAGAAACTAGGAAACGCTATAATTGAAGTGTAAATTGGTCTATTTACGGTGCTGGAAGCAAAGAAAAGCCTAAAGAGAGATGGAGCTACAGACTATATTTATAGACTTAAGCAAATTAGAATTTACATGGGATTGGATTTGGCAGCCAGGTGTTTCAATGAATATATCCGATCATGCACCCAGTAAAGTCAGGAAGACTATTAGGGTATAACTATGAGGTAATGGGACAAGACTACAAAGATGGAGGTGGGTGCTAGTCTGAAAGAACAAAGAGAAGTAACATAGTTTCTTTCTAAGGAGTCACTTTGCTTTCCTAGCATTCTGCATTCCTTAGCCTTCTAAATGTAGCAGTGTAGTTTTCCTAAGAAAGTGTTTTTATAATGAGATAGTTGCCCATTTTGGCACCAGATAACCAAGTCAGTGTTTTCCCTCGGAGGATTGCATTTGTGTTAAGGGCTTTTAATTTGCCCTCCTCCCATCTCCTATACCCACAGTGTTCACAAGCAGCTTCTCGGAACACAGTGATGAAAATTAGATTAACAATACCATTCATGGATTATATTTTCACATTCTGATAAAATGCTAACATTAAACTAAATCATTTTGTATTTGTACCAAGGATTACCTAAGTTCTTTCAACTATTTCATTTGTTTGGTAGTTTTAGAGAGCAAGAGAATCAATCTCTCTAGTGGCCCCAAATTATGAAATTTTGTTGTCCTTGAAATTAACTCCTTTTTTAAAGTTTTGCAAGATTGAGATCTATGTAACAGAGTTCAATGTGTTTACTTCTCCTTATCATAGACACATGAACTTTCCTGAAAGAAACAGTACTTTTTCTGGTTTTCTTGGATATAGACTATTTTACCAAGATTTTACTTCAGAATTCTTCGTTGCGAACAATCAATAAGATTTTCAAGATAAGTTCACCTGTGAAGAGTTCAGGAGCCATGTGTATGGGTGTCCCAACAATACTTCCAGACATCATTGCTTCAGGTTTACAAAATCCCAGGTCAGTGATTTTAGCTCTATTGTTTTTATCCAGCTGTAAAGAATATAAAATGATTGCACAACAATGATTGCACAACAAGCAATACAATGATTATCAAAAACATCCTGCCATCAAATCTCTTTAGCAAGCAGTAACTTCTACAAACGATTCCTATTTTCAAAAGTGTCTTTGCTGAACAAAGTTAATGAAGTCTCATACTTCGACCAGTGGCATCAGATACATGGTCTTAGAAGCAATTAACTAGGATATTTTAAAAAATAGCCACCCTTGTTGTTCATATTATAACTCATCATATCAGATTTGATACTAGAGGTTCTGCTTTCAACTATTACATAGAGTCTCATGCCTCATTAAGTTCTTCAAAAAATTTCCAACATGAGGTGATATACAGTTGTCGTCTTAACCACTGACTAGACGGAATTTTCTTATGATAGAAAACAAATATTCTTTCAAATCCATTCCATTTTACTACTAGTACAATGAAAAAGATACAGTGCTTTGGATACTGGAGATCCATGAATACCAACACTTAAATCTACACTCAGTCATGGAAATTTACTGGGTAATGTTAGTCTAGTCTCTATCTCTATACTCAATCTACTAGATACTGTTATTGTTGGGGGGGAAATGAAGGAAGGAGCCCTATGCATCTTCCCTGGGAGAAAAGGGAGAATATAAATAACAAATCAATAAATAAAAGCATCAGGTAAATTTGATATAATTATTTTTATTTTGCGTGAAAGGGATTATGAGCTGTTAATCTTCCTGAGCAAACTAGATATTATGTTACAAATTGTATTATAAATTGTATTATAAATTGTAATTGCACTGTTAGCTAGTGCAAAATATAGATATCACAAATCTGAAAAGGTTACCAATTGCTTATTGGTCACAAAATGTTTGTATTAGCCTTTAAATAATTTAGGATCGTCTCTGTCTCT